TTTTATTAGAGACAGGGTTTCACCATGTTGGCCAGGCTGGTCTCAAACTCCTGACCTTGTGATCCGCTCACCCTGGCTTCCCAAAGTGAGCTACCACACCTGGCTATTTCTCTGGATTATCTATTCCAATGAACTCCCCACCTAGCTCCACCTTCCCTTTTGCTTCCACCCTCAGCACACCAGTGATCTGCCCAACTTCCCCAAGTCCTGTTCTTCTCCAACCTGGTTGGTGATCTCAGCCTTCTGGTTAAACATGTCACTGTGATCACCAATGAGAAAGCCATGGACATCTCGGAAATCTGGGAAGTTTAAGAACAAGGAGAGAGGAAAGATTGGCTTTATAGGAAAGGAAGTTTCTAGGCTTCAGGGGGAGTCAGTGGGACTGGGAGGAAAAGTGGTAAGCGGTGTGTGGAGGGAGGAGTAACCCATGTGGGAAGCCACAGCTAAGCATAGGGGTGGGAGCTAAGAAGGGATCAAGGACTGAGTTGGGGTTTGAAGGAAGAAGAATTTGACTGAGTGTGCCTATTTAGATAGGGCAGGAGGGACACTGACAAACACCCATGGGTTGGGAGTAGGACAGTGTTTGGAGAGCCGCCCGATCGGATCAGCAGGAAGCAGGAAGAACATCTGGACTGGGATCCCACCAGCGCCGAACGTGTGGATGCACTCTACTCCATCCATGATGGCAATGATGCCCAGGGTCTGCCAGCCAACCAAGTACACATGGCCTTTCTTCTCCAGACTGAGAATGGATCAGAGGTTAGGACATGAGAGATTACAGTGAAAAGAGGCCAGAGATGCACACAGAAGAGCACAGGAGTCAACACACCATGACCCTTCAACATGCAATCCCATCACCCGCACCATGTTAACATGTCTCATAGAGTCTCCCTGCTCTCAGTATTCCCCATCTGGGCCACATCCCCACCTCTAAACACATATCCACACACCTGGTGCTGACGTGCTTCATCAAGGTGGCAATCTTGGGGCCTTGGCTGTAGGTCACCTGATGAGCTCGTTCAAATGTCCGCAAGATTTCCAGGAGGCATCTGGGAGAAAAGCCACCAGCTCCCAGGAAGGGCCCAATGCCTCTCAGAAAGACTGGGTGCCTCCCTGAGGAGGGAGGCGAAGGCATAGCTCCCTTAGAACTAAGTTCTTCTGGTCCCTGGAGAGGTGCAGAGAGTAGGGCCAGACTGTGTTCGGGGGGTGCAGCAAGGGATTCAGTGGGCAGAAAATGAAAGAGCAGAAAGAGGGATGAGGGCATCAGGAGGGTACCAGGAGGAGCAGGATCTGAAAACCGCTGGGAAGGGGAGTGAACAGCCTGGGAGTGAGGCTAGAGACCCTGGAGAGGGAGGTTGGCCCATAGTAGGATGAGCTCTACCTGCATGACCTAGACCACCCCCCAAACCAAAGGGCCCTCGGGAGCCAGGCTGGCTTTGGAGGTTCCAGGCAAGCTCAGGGATTAGGTCTGGGCCTGAGGAATCCAGGATCCACTGGAGACAATCTGGACTCTGCGACTACGTGGTGGGAGCAACAGCATGTCCCTACCAGCTCCCTTCCCAGGGGAGGCGTGGTGGGCTGCAGTCTTACTGCCACCAGCCCAGTCCTTGGGTCTAGACCTGCCGTTCCCCATCCACACCATCTCACGCTCACCTGACTCTGAGCTCTCTCTTGTCCAGGTCCTCCCTACCTTTGAGATGCTGCAATGCCCCGGTCCACAGTCTTATGGGCAGCTAATAACAGGGTTTCCAGCAGGATCTTGGTGGCACTTCCACCTTTCATTCGGGAGGAGCCGCTGAGACCCTCAGGCTGAAGGAGGCGAAGACACCCAAGAGGAATTGGGAAAGGATGAAGACTCCGGAGACCACTTGTTAGTGACCCCTGGCCATGCATGTGATGGTACTGCTGGCCCCTGGTGTGCCTGTGAGGAAGGGGGCTGGGTGGGCTTGACTGAGAGGAAGATTAGAAAGAGGGGAATGACCTCCTCTGGTCATTCCTGGGTATATATTTAGGACTCTCTGGGGAGGAAGTCACAGTGATTGGGTCTCTTGTCAGCTGGGTCAAGGGTTTTTCATAAAGTGCTTTCCTTTTCTTTTTTTCTTTTTTTCTTTTTTTTATTTTTTTGAGATGGCGTCTTGCTCTGCCGCCCAGGCTGGAGTGCTGTGGTACAATCTTGGCTCACTGCAACCTCTGCCTCCCAAATTGAAGAGATTCTCCTGCCTCAGCTTGCTGAGTAGCTGGGATTACAGGAACCTGCCAACACACCTGGCTAATTTTTGTATTTTTAGTAGAGATGTGGTTTCACCATCTTAGCCAGGCTGGTCTTGCACTCCTGACCTTAAGTGATCTGCCTGCCTTGGCCTCCCAAAGTACTGGTATTACATGCATGAGCCGTCACACTTGGCCCAGAGAGTGCTTTTCTTTCCAAGAAATTTCTCCCCCACCTCCCTCACCTCCACCATTTTCTGTGGTAGTTTATCAGTCCAAATGCCACATGTCATATGCTTTGGACAGACAGATGAAGCAGCCGTTGCAGGGGTCCAGATGTGGAACACAGCACACCGGACAGCAAAGAGATTCCCGCAAACAGAGTGATAACAGTAGTGACTGAGAAAAGAAGACTGAAAGTCAACATTTGCAGAGAGGAGGAAAGAGAGATGAGTATTTGGGAGGCCAAAGCTATGGAATTCTTATGTCATATGGAATTCTACCTTCCTATCTCACAAAAGGAAGATGGAGGAGAATGTCTCAGATTGTATGGCCATCACTGGTAGAGGGAGGCACCGGCTGGAATTTGGCTAAGGCCCTCCTAAGGCCCAAGTGAGGAGAAATGGGGCTAGTAAAATGTATCCACAATCCAGATGAGAAAAAAGGAACAGGAGAAAACAGCTTTCAAGCTAAGAAGGGCCAGGCAATTTTGGAGAGGATTTAGAAGGCAGAATGAAACAAAACTGCACCCCATTTTTTAATGTAAATATATAAGACAGACAGACTGAGACATAACCGTGGCTATTCAATGGTGTTTGTACACAGATGGCGAAGATCTTCTTTAAACTGAAACTGCCCCCGACCACTAAAGTGTTTAATGATTACCGGTTTGAGAGACGGGGTTGGAATGAAGACAAAATATCTTACAGTGAAAAAGTAAATGGGAAAATAGGATTTGGTTTATAACATTTTAGCTGACTCACAATGCCTCAGGAATTTAAACAAGATGTAACAGAACCTAAAATCAGAGGCCCCAAGGAAGTGGCAAGCAGTTCCCAGGCGCTGGGGGGTTGGAGAACGTAGAAAAAGGAGAAGCCCTACCCCGATGGCAGGATTGAGCACAAAAGCTTTCTGTTTCTCCTGCATTTTCTGCATCCGCTCTGCCACTTGTCGGAATGTTGAACTCCAGTCTTCAATGGGGTCATTTCTGGGGCCCAGAGAGACACAAGGTGGGGAGATTGTCTATGAGGATTTCAAAGAAGGGCCTCAGCTGGGAGTCATGATCAAAGACTGCTTTGGGACTGAGGTCAGAGGTCAACAACTTCACACAGACGTATGCTTTGGAGGTTTTAGAGGCACTGTGTCCCTGAACCCCAAGGACAGGGGTTAATAAAACATTCAGCACCTCAAGCCCAGAGCAAAGCCAACATTCAGGTTGAAAGTTCCAGCCTGAGACCCAAACTGTCTTGCATAAGCCCCAATGCCATGGCCACACTAACCTCACCCTCTGCAGGCCCCTTAGGGAATGCCTGTCATTCAAATGTCAAAGTTGCCACCTTATTTTCCATCTTAGGGTCCAGAAGCCCTTCCCATTCATGGAAATACATTCTGGAAATCCCTCCAAAGAGTGAGCCCTCAGTACTGGAGGGAGGGATAACGGTGAGGGAATCAAGGTGCAAGGTAGGTGTAGCACCTCGCAGTTGTCAAGCATTCCTTGAATGAATTAATGGGGAACAAATCAATGTGTTAATGAGGCAGACTTGTTATCTGCTTAGTTACAAATCATGGAATCGCAAAGAATGAGGATCTTCTTCAGTTGATTTCTAATGGCTTTGCAAGGGGATAATTTGTGAATCCCCCATTATGGCAGGACCTCCAAGAGTCAGTTACCCCTGTACATGTCAATAAAATGTAAATGCACCCAAAATTTACATTTCATTGGGGTGCATTTCATGGCACCCCAAATTTTGCCTTATCATCCCATCCTGCAAAGTTTCCATCCCTTCTTGAACTATTTTTGTATCACTTCTAGGGCAGACAAATTTCACATATTTCATGCCTGTTGTGTAAATTGTCTCCTGTCATTTGTCCTCAAACTATTTCTGAAACTTGCTAGAGACCTAAGAAAGAGGAGACTAAAGCAGAAAGCAGCGACAGGGTTCATATTGCATGGTTTAACATCTAGATTCCTAAACACAGCTGGGCATCTGAATCATCTGGGGAGTTTTATTTTTTAATAACTACCCATTTCTGGGTACCACATCCAGATTCAGATTCAGCAGTTCTGGAGTGAAGCCCCAAAATCTGTATTTTTAGAAAGCTTTCCAGATGACTCTGAAAATCAGCCAAGTTTGGGAGCCACTGATTTAAGGAACAACTGGAAGATCTCCACGCCTACACTGTTTGAAATTCTTCATTTCACTTAGTCATAGGGCCTGAAATTAGCTTCCACTGCAGCAGATACATTTTTGGTGAAGGAGGGCCCTCCATGAAAAGGATCAGGGTTAGGGTATTTCAGATTCATTTACACCTTCACATGAATTATACTACAGCCTAGAATCTGGGAGGTGAAAAAGCACCTTCGAAAAACCCGCTTGTCCGCCTTCCCAAGACCACCGCTAAATAGAAAAAGCTGCTCTAAAATCATCAGCAAGCCTCTGCCGTATCCCTCTGGTGTCAGGAAGCCCTCAGCTTTGTCAGGTGGCCCAGTCCAATGGTCTATTTAGCAGAGTTTCCCCTACCTGGCTGTGCATCAGAATCTCCAGGGATGCTTTCAAAAAATAGATATTTCAGGGCCTTACTCCAAACCTACAAAACCAGACCTCTTGCACAAGGAACTAAGAATCTTCTTTATTTTTTTGTAACATTCCCCAGGCAGCTCATGCACAGAACCACATCTGAGCACTACTGGTTTAATATGTTGACTTATTCTGAGATCAGAGTGACCACTGACATAGAAAATATAAGAGGGAGGTGATTTGGGAATGAAGGGCTCTCAGGGAAGGGAAGACGGTGAGAGATCTGAGGAGCCTCGGGGGAGCAAGGGGGTGCCAGAAATGATGAGAGAGAATGGGCACTAAATAAGGGAGCTGGACAAAGAAGAGTAGGGAGCCATCTAGCACCCACTACTGCTACTTTGAAAAGGTGCTTGGAGCTCACCCCCAAATGAAAGCACAAATCTTTGTGGTATGCATCTTCCTGACCCCATTTTATCCTCCATTTTATCTCTTGTTTTTCTTGCCTCTTCAATCCCTGTTTTGAATGTAAGCTATCTTATACTTTATGTATCCTTTGTAAGTTGCCTTTAATCCCTTCTGAAGCAAGAAGATAATAATTTAACAAACAAGAAAACCTTGTAAGCTTAGGGGCGCCCCATATTTAATATTCTGAGATTTGGTGAACAAGGCTATATTCATCATTTTCTCCCTTATGGTTGTACTATAGACTTTGACGTGTTCCCTTCCAGCCTGCCCCAGGGCTGGCCAGTCATTCCAGAAGGCTTACCTGGCCATGCTCACTGGATTGAAGCCAACCAGGACTGGCAAGAAGACAGCTGTGTTGTTCATGCAGTAGTCCATCTGGCCTGCCACAAATGGAGCCTGATGGTGAAGAAAGAGAAGGGCATGATGAAGGGGTCATTATTCTGAGTGGTGCCCGAGGCTCAAGTGCATCAGAATCCTTCAGAATGCTTGTTCAAAATGCAGACTCCTAGGTACAGTTACAATCTACTGGATCCAAATTTGAAGGAGGAGCATTTTTAACAAGTACTCCAAGGAAATCTGCATGGTAAAGTTGGAATACTACTGAACTAAATTGTAAGTTCTTTGAAGTCAATATCCTCTTCTCTTTGTGTGTTTCCTTCCATATATAACACTGGTGGGATCTAGTTTCTGCTCCGTGAATTCCTAGAGCCAGAGAGCTGCAGAATTGAGAGGAAACTTGGAGTCATCTGGCTCAGTGCTTCTCAAACTACCTGGTAATCTTGTTGAAATGCTCAATAGGTCTGGGATGGGGCCTGAGATTTTGCATTTCTAACAAGTCTCAGGTGACACTGATGTTGCTGGTACAGGCACCATACTGTAAGTAGCAAGGGACTAGTCCAGGGCCCATATTTTTCTGTAAAAGGTGAGATAGTAAATACTTTAGGGTTTGTGGGCCTTTTGGTCCCTGTCCAACTACTCAACCCTATGGCTATAGCATGAAAGAGGCCCTAGGCCATATGTAAACAAAAATAGCTGTGTTCCAATAAAACTTTATTTTAGGGGCTGGACACAGTGGCTCATGCCTATAAACCCAGCACTTTGGGAGGCCAAGGGGGGCAGATCACTTGAAATCAGGAGTTCAAGACCAGCCTGGCCAACATGGTGAAGCCCTGTCTCTACTAAAAATACAAAATTATCCAGGCATGGTGGCATGTGCCTGTAATTCCAGTTACTTGGGAGACTGAGGCAGGAGAATCGCTTCACCCAGGAGGCGGAGACTACAGTGAGCCAAGATCGTGCCACTGCACTCCAGCCTGGAAGACAGAGGGAGACTCCATTAAAAAAAAAAAAAAAAAAAAAAAAAAAAAA